GGAAAGAGAGAAATCTAATAACTTCACTTCCATGACCTGCCCAGAGTCCTGATCTAAATCCAATTGAGCATTTATGAGATGTTTTTGAAAGACGAATTCGTGCATGACCAATTTATCCCAAAAATCAAGAATTGGGGAAAAATCGAGCTGGAAATTTTAAAAAATTTTGCTGAAAGTATGCCGAAAGAGTGTGTATCCAACCCGATATTAAAATATATGTATGAATAGCCCCCGAATAAAATGATATATTTTTTATTGTAGTTTAATTTAGAGAAGTCAAGTAATATTAATTTAAAGTCACCCCAAATTTTGTGATCTACATTACTGATCATTTCCCGATTCCAAACTTTTGTCCACTGAGTGTATCAAGTTTTCTCCCGGTTTACTTGACGTTATATAAAAAAATGACGTCCACTCGTACACAGCTAAACGAAATTGAAAAAGGGAAGATTCTGGCATACATGGAAACCGAAAATGCCACAACAATACGGCGCTTTATTGCTAAGTACAAAAGGACGGGAAAAAGAACTTACCTCGTTCTGGAAGACCACCAGTCCTTAATAATCATGAAAAAAATTTACTCGCTTGTAAAGTTAATGAAAGACGACATATACCACTCCGCGAAATTGTCGACAATTTAGGTCTTAACTGTAGTCTGTCAACTGCCGCCAAAAAATAGGCCAATAAACTTTATTAATGGGCTAATACTTGGTATGCCCTCCTTCTGTCTCAATGCATGTTACAATTCGATTTTGCATGCTTTTGATGTTACTAATTATTACATCATTTTCTAGATTTTCCCATTCCTCCCTAATTACATCCTGAGAAATTGGTTTTTTGGACGCCACCATACTCTCTTCAAAACAGCCCAAACATTTTCAATAGGGTTGAGATCTGGACTGTAAGAAGGCTAAGCAAGAACTCGCCGCGGAAGACGAGCTGCCAAGTCATTTTGCACATCATTGGACGTGTGCTTTGGGTCATTATCTTGTTGAAAGACCCAGCGATGACCGTGCATCGCATCCGCATTGTCATACAAGTGATCGTTTAGTATTTCGTGATACAAATGGCGATCCAGATTTTGAGTGAACATACGTATGTACATTCCAATTTTCCCCTTAACACTGATCGCTGCCCAAATATGCACTTTAAATGGATGTTTTACCATCGGTGCAATATGCTGTGCATCGCGCGACCACGCGAGAAGGGTATTACGAAACATCTGAATTGTTGTTTCATCAGAAAAAACCACTTTTCGCCAGTTGTATCGCATGTGATCACGAGCCCATTTCAATCGATCGTCTTTCGCTTGTTGGGTCAAAAGAGGAACTCTCCGAGGACGAACAGCAACAAAACCAAGGTTATCAAGTTCACGACGGATAGTACCTTCACTCACCTCAAGTTCTGGGTCAGCTCAGCGCTGTAGTAAAATGATCGCGTTTCATAGTTATTCCAATTTGGCGGCGTTTTCGAGGGGTCAGTTTTCTTGGACAACCAGAACGAGAACCAACTGAAATTTTCACAATGAACTGACATGAGCGTAAAGAAATGCCAGTTCGTCGCGAAATTTCCTTGGCATTGCGGATATTTTGTCTCCATGACGAGTTAACTGCATTTCGGTTTGCTTCGAGAGGGGATAGTGCAACAAATGAAGATCAATTTTTATTGTTGATTTTTTAAAGTAACCCAATTTGATATAATAAACAAATATACCAATCGGGCAAATGTGAATACTGCATCCACAAAACCAAAGTGTATTCACTTTCGCCGATGACTGTGCATTTCGGATACACATGCTTATATTCGTTTTAGGTGGTGTGAGAAAAATCAAAATAAAACAGCTTATGATTGGGCAAATATAATCTTCTCTGATGAGACGAGTGTGGAAATTGGGAAACTATCACGACAATCAAGAGTTTGGCGACACACTGGAGAAAGATTTAATGCTAATTGCTTGGTGCCTCCTTATAAAAACGGACGAAAATCTGTAATGGCTTGGGATGTTTTGCGGGAAGACACAAAGAACCACTGGTATTTTGTGATGAATACAAAAATGACGGGGGAAAATAAATTCGGCTGTTTATCTTAGATTCTTGAAAGCTAATTTATTACATTTCATAAAGCAATTACGGTATTAGCTGGAAACGTGCAAGTTTTCAGCAAGATAACGCGCCGATCCATAAATCAGAACATTCGCGGAAAATAAAATCGTGACTATCGATTGGCCAGCGAATTCACCAGACCTAAACCCAATTGAGAATATTTGGAAGGTGTTGAAGGATAATGTTCAAAAGTATGAAATCTTTCCGAGGTCCGAGGACGAACTTAAAATCGCGTTAAAGGAGGAGTGGGAAAAACTTGACGCCTCTGTTTTTGAAGAGGTTATTTTCTCAATGCCAAGGAGAATTGAAGCTGTATTAAAGTCAAATGGAGGGCAAAATAAAATATTAATTAAATATAATTTTTTATTTATGTATAAACTGTTGAAAATAAAATAAATCGGAGAATGTGAAAATTTTAATTTTACAAGGGCGTTACTTTATTATTTTTCTATGAAAAACGATTCTAAGAATTAAAAAAATTATACTAATATTTGTCGTTATTAATCCAATACTAATATTTTGAGTTATCAATTGATGCTCAATCTCCTCCACAAATATGATTGAATAAATTCAATTTGGAAATTAACAAATAAAACTTTAAAGTTTTGGATTTCCTCGTCGATTTAGCAAAATCACTTTCGATAACTTGCCCGAGGTGACTTGATAATGCCTCAATTAAATTCGCAGTGTTTATCGTGTAGCAAATATCGTTGGATCTGTGAATAGTACCGAATACACTTGAATAAGACCCCGGGGCGCGATACGACACATAATACTAGAAACTTAACAGCTACGAAAAGAATAATTAAAAGCTAATGAGAAATATTGTAGCTATTATTAACCTCTTGCAATTTTTTAGTACACGCAGGAAGAAAAGAATTGAAAAGAAAATATACAGAGATATCGAAATGCTTTCTTTTAGAAAATGGATGGTGTATTTTTACAAAATTGATGCGCGAGAGAAAACTCATATTTGAGTTATTCAAAATTAGATACAGTAGACATATAACGCTGCGTATAGTACGTATGGGCTGACTTGACTCCTAAAACAATTTAGGTTTTGATAATTTTTAGCTGGAGTTAAATCGGTTGTGGGGTCAAATCCGCCCACATGATACGTGCTCTCCTTTTTTTTTTTTTAGTATAATAATCATTTTTGCTGCAAATTGAATGTTCAAGATCATGGTGTAAACTTTCAAAAAATCTTATTGCTGAATTAATGGCTTGGAAATTAAATTAAGTGACAAAGTTTTGATATGGGAGGTAGGAACTTCTACACGGTATTTACTCTTGTAAGTTTCGTATTTTTCATGCACAAACTTTTATAATTTACAAAACCTCGATGAACTTAGCATTTTTTGAAGGGATATACTTGTTTCACCGACATACTGTTTTGTCGACGCCAAATCACCGACAACCCATTCCACTAACACTTCACCAACGCCAACCTATTTCACCGACAACCATTTCACTGACGGATACCATTTCACTGACTATAACGATAAAGGTTTATAGTATAAACTGTACTGTACTATGTTATTGTGCATAACATTTAAAGTCATCAAACATTGTATTTTATAAAATGAATAAACTTCTTTACTAAGAAGTAAATACAAATTTTAATCCGTCAACATGATATAATAGGCCCTTCTGAGCATATTCACGGATTAAAATTTAGATTTGCTTCTTAGTAAAGAAGTTTATCCATTTTATAAAATACAATGTTTGATGACTTTAAATGTTATGCACCATAGCATAGTACAGTACAGTTTATGCTATAAACCTTTATCGTTATAGTCAGTGCAATGGCAGCCATCAGTGAAATGGTTGCCGGTGAAACGAAATAGATCCTTTTTTTGAATTGTTTAAAATCTAATCAAAAATAAATTTTAAATATCTGTCAGAATACAAAAGCCAGTTTCGAATAAGCTTAATCATTTTACTTGATATATTCTCTTCAAGATTTCGAACAGATAATTTTTGCAGTTTTCCTTGATTCTCGTTCATAAACCATGTAAAATGTAGAGTTAAATTTTTCCTTTACTTTCTTGCCTAAGACAGCAACCTAGTGTCATATCTCATATATGTTATGAACTCAAATTAGCAAAACTAACCTAATTATTGCTAAACTGAAAGGACTTTAAATAGAAATTTCCCGAACTTGTTCATTAATATAGATCATCGTTTTCGAGTACAAAAACGGTGTTTACTACGAGAAATGAAGTTCTTTTTTTTGCGATATTTTATGTGATTTTGTTTTGATTTTTGACTGGTCAATATATTATTTATTCTTATAGACCCAAGTTTATTACTGGAAATAATAGACTTGGGGTCAAAATTCCCATAGCAAAAGAAAAGGAATATAACAATTTGGCAAAAGGGTGAATAACGAAAAAGAATTCGAGTTTAGGTCAAAGATTTGTCTTGCTTTAAACTGAATTTCTCTTTGCTAACGTTGAAATTATCGTAACAAGAAACCGGCATTTACCTTTTTGTTTATATTCCCTTTTAATATGCTTCCAACAATCTATGAAGAAAGTAATGCACCCGATTTGCAACCTTCACTAAGACCCAAAAAACATAAAAGACGTCATATTCATGCAAATTCACGTCGTGTGTATTTGACAATTCAGGGTTCAACATCAGGAATACCTTCCGTTTCCAATGAGGAACAAAATAAATACAAAGTTTCTTATAGAATCGCGATTCGAGAGCCACGTCCCATTCATAAAAAATCTCCTTCGAATGACGAAAATAGGCCAAATTTTGTACCATTAACAAATCCACAGACTCCACGAGGCAATGTTATTATAACTACTGGCGAGAAAAGAGAAGAAATAAAGAATAAACAACGAAAGCATTGTTCACCCGCTGTAACACATTGTTGTTTATATATTCGATTATCAGACGGTATATATCTTATCTCTTGTCTATGGATAGTAAGTAGTTTGACATCCTGAATTATGAAAATATTAAATTTATAGTAAAAGATTACTCATAATTTGTTTAGCTTCACAGTTTGTGGCTAGTATATATTACTGGGCAAGAATATAAAGAATTTGACCCTGTATTTATATTAATACTGGTGATATTGATGGAAATCATGACAATCTTGTTGGCTGTCTTTGGTATAATAACTACTTACATATTGGTAATTATAATTTCGTAAATTATTGTTATTATTTACACTCAAATGCTAACACTAATTCATATCAATGTAACAGAAAAAATTGAGAATATACGCATATCTCGGCAGCTTACTCACATGCTTCTACATATTAATATTCACCGCCGATTCCATTCTGGTCATAAAAAACAAAAACTTGCAAAAAGGGTTTTTGGCAGGTGAGCGAGCTCTATTTCCTAAGGATTCAGAGACTGGAATAATTCTAAGTGTTTTTCGAGCAATGCTTGTCGTGTCGTTGTCGATTTATTTCGTGATGGTAATTAAAGCAAACGCGGAAAAAGATGTAGAAGAGACGCGAAGTGACGTTTGATAGAAGAAATTCGTTTTTATATATGCTTTCTTTTTCTTTCTTACTAAGAAAACTTTCGATACAAGAAATAAAAATCAAAATAACCTTTTTTTTAATCTCTCAATATATGAATACAAGAGAGATTGTTTGTTAGACCAGAAACTCTCTTATATTATATTGAGAGTGAGTTGTATCAATTTTTAAATCTTTTTTAAAATCTGTCACAAACAAGTCACCTTTCATATAGAATTAAAGAAATACTAGAGTACTCAATAATGCACCAAGAAAAATTTTTTTATACACTAATCATTGTAAATTAAATTTTTACTCTGAATGTTGGCATCAACTTGTATGTTATTAAAAGATTATGTAAGTCAAGGGTATACAAATTCCCAATATTTTCTTGGATTGCTGTATGGCGTCGACAATAACATATCTATTATCTTTCATTTTTTGCAGTCGTCCCCCTGAGACCCGGTGATAGTGTGGCTATAGGGAGGTGTGATTATATATAAAGTGCATATTTTTATTAAACCGCGATTTGTGATTTTGTCTTACTTTAGGTCCTGAAAATATGTATCTTTTGCAATTATAGATGTCATGTTATGTGTCTTACACGGTCATACCTCCATATAGTCACACAGTTGGCACATTAGTAATTTTTGAAATGAAGCGTGCTTATAAGAATGGTGGCTATGTGGAGGTGGAAGGTATGACTGATAATAAGGTTAGAATTTACATTGTATTTTACCAACTGTTTGACGTTAATATCATCATGCCGACACCGATACTAATACATGTACAATTATTTATCGTTATTGTTAATCATTTGATTTAGATAAATCAAAATCAATTGAATATAATAATATCGATATTAATTATTATTATATTAGTCAGTGGTGATTTTTTGATTTAATCGACTCAAACACATTAATATTTTCATTTCACACCAAGATTGATTTTTGATTTAAAGCAAAATTATATATATGTATGTGTATATGTGTGCGTGTGTATATAACAAATAAAATAAATTGAAGTGGGCGGTCCAAAGCGTAAACATAATTAAATGCAATTATTTTCTCCCCTTGCTGAAAAAATGCCGGCATCACAACAACCGCTACTTTCATCATCATCGTCATCAATCAACATACCTGATCCAATTACCGATTCGTTCGTCCCACTTTGTAGATGTGGTCGACTTGCAGTCGTCAAAGGGAAAGTCGGGAAAAAATTCTTCGGATGTTTTAATTTTTGGAATAAAAAACCACAGGAACCTCGATGCAATTTCTACAAGCGTCAACGTTTGATCATTCGTCGTTTTCCTACTCAAGACGATGTGGGCACCTCCGAGAGAGACGAAAACGATGAGAAACTCGACGTTCAGTCCGAAGAAAAATGGAAGGAAGACATTTACCAATCGTACTATGAGAATTATGAAGATGCAGATCTTAATGAAGTGATTGACAATCATGACGCGGCAGTATCTACCAATACTTCACCCGCCGCGGAAGAGCCTAAATTCATACACGATCAAGAAATCAGTTCCATTTTCCAGCTTTTCTTGAAACAAACAGTCAGTCAACGACAATCGGCTTTTGAAGAATCGCAGAAATTGAAACAAGAATGCGCGGATGTCCAGCAACAGTTGAAGTTGTTGCATAAATGTTGTGATGTCGCACATGAGAAAATTAATGTTCTCGAGAATGAAAACGGTGTTTTGAAAGAAGTGAATGCTTATTTGAAGAAATTATTGGCAGATAGAAAGTAGTTATGCTTCAAGTAGCCGGAATAAAAAACAAGTCATATAGTGAAATTTTATATGGTTTGGGAAATCTATTTGGAGCATATCTTTAAATAGATAGATAAGAGTATTTTGCTTGTAGTTTCAGTTTATACACTACTCTAAATCTAATTGTAAAATTATTTATAAATAACTTGAATAAAGAAATATAATTTTTTCCCCTACCAAGTTATTTGAAATCATAACTATATCATAATAAATCACGAAATTACGTGTTGTACGTAATACGTACGTCAACATTTCTAAAAAAAAATCAAATATAAATTTCTATCCGTCCAAAACCTCAAAGTTATTATCAAAAATGCCAAGGGCAAACAAATACCCAAAAGTTGCTTTCAAACTTAGGTATTTCTCCATCCCACGAGCAAAACGAGCCGGTGCGATAGATTGTATCGAAGATTGGAAGACAAAAGACAATTTAATTTCATTGATTCAACACAACAACAATGTTGTCCAGTTGACGGATATCCCTTCTCTTTACTTGGGGAAGTATAACAAGGCATTAGAATATACGGGAAAACTGGTAAATTATTATTGTTTTGTCAAAACCTTGGTCTTTTTTAATTTTTGTATGTTTATATTAGAGAAACGTTATCACTAATGAGTTTCCGGATTGTATGCAAGTCATGCAAATGTCTGGAAAAACATCAATTGTGAAACTTGCTGAAAGACTTCACGTCCAAACCAATAATACCAAGCTAGATGATCAGAGCATTATTACACTAGACCTAGACACCGAGGATGACGAGACAAGTGACATGGAAATAAATGAGGAAGAAAATATGGGTGTTGGAGAAGCAATTATGGCTGATAATGATACAGAAGAGTTTAGAGATGACGAAAAACAAACAGCCATTTTAAAAATGGCTAATTTATCTTCATTGCAGTTTGATATTTTAAAAGCGATATTTATAGCCAATCCTCAGCACAGAGATTGGCGTTTTTTGCTTGATGAATAATTTCATTGTAAGAAAAATGATACAGCTTATTTGCAAAGTAAACGTACTCGCGCTCACATTATACATTAGTTTTGATACAAATTAAAAACTAGTCATTAAAAATTAAATTATCTGTCGTCATAATGAAGAATTTTCCTATCCCAAAATAAATTATAAACAAAAATTTGAATTTGGCAATTATGTTAATTATGATATTGTAACAACTGCAGTCAAATTTCCTTGGAAGTAATTTATCGTTGTCAAATATTCGCCAATAAGTACATTAGTAGTTAACTTCATATCGATAGGCAGTTTACCTTTATTGGCAATAATAATAGGAATTAGTTTAGCCGGATCCATTACAATGGTAAATGGTATATCGGGACTCGTAATTGGTTTCCTTGATGGTATCGGTAATCCAGGTTGTGGTAATTCAATATCAAGTGTTCCAACTAATTCATCTTTGCCAGCTAGGAATGATTTAGCGTGAATGGCAATAAGTCCAAACGGAGCGTCCAAAGGATTAACCATGGTAAAACTAGTTGTAGCCGTCTTTGCGGTGCTGTTAACTTTCACAGTGATTGCACGAATTAACGGACTATCAATTCCATTGAGAGTTGAACTTAATGACAACTTGGAGAATGTCGGTTGCAATGATTTGATAGAAGTTGTCGCGGAATTTCCTCGGATTTCTAAATCTGAAATTTTATTTTCGAGGAAATTACCAAGTAAATTCGCGCCGTCATTTATCGCGTCGTCGCCAATTGGTGCATATTGGAATTGAGCAGGAATAGTGTTTAATCCACGATCTAGCACAAGATTTTTGAGAATGGTTTGTCCAATTTTGCTTTTGCCAAAGAATATATCAAATGCAACATCTCCTGTTCCGACTTTAACATTTGAAGGATTTGTGATTGACACCGTTGCACCAAGATCCAAGAAAGATTTAGTTCCACCATGCACAGAAATATTGCTTACTGTAACAGGTGCACTTTTTAATCCTTGCAAGCCTATCGATGCAGAAATTCATTAATAATTGTATTCAATAGTTGAAATAAAAGATAATAGTAAATTTACCTTTAAGTGACGTAGACGCAGAGAATGGAACACCGTTCATAGGAAGTTCTCCGAGAGGAGTCTTAGCAAGAATGTCAAGAGTGCCTTGGAACGAGAGATCCTTTTCTTTAGCAAGAGTCAATTCCCCAATAAATTGTTCAAAAGCGACTTGTTGAGAATTTTCAGAGGTCAATCGTTGATTGCTGAAAGATGTAACGATACCATCCTTTGTAATTTTCGGTGTAGAGAATGGAAGTTTAAATGATGCGACAGGATTCTTTCCATCTATTATTGTGATATTTTGAGCGACTTTTTCAAGTGTAATTGGAATACCAAAAGATAGATCGACTTTCGACACAATTCCACTCGAGGATGCAAGTGGAGAGAATGCAGTTTCGGGTGTGAATGAGAGATCCAAATCATTGATTGTAATTTCCTTTACTATTGATCCGGTTTGATTACTCGCTGGTAAGTTTAGAGTTAAATTCAACACAAGTTTTTTGAATGGTTCTTCTAGCCATAATACTGGTTCCTTTGTGCCTGGCGGTTTAACACTGGTCCCAACAACTTGAACTTGAAGCGGCAAACCAGTAGTAAGAGCACTTAGTAGTAGTGGCAATATCTTTGTTACTCCTGGGCTTTGAACGATTTCACCTTTGAATGGAATTACATTGTCGGATTTCGCGACAAGTGTCACACCGTCAGCATTGACTGGGCCAAGAACGACACCACTAGCTAACATATTGAAACCGATGTTTCCTAGTTCGATTCCAATATCTGCTGAATCGACCATGTCTGCGGAAAGACTGATTAATAGGCCTTTTCCGTCAGGTGATGGGCCGACAATTTTGAATCCTAATGGTTTTACGTCTTTCAATCCGTTGAATCCTATTGTGTTTTAAAAAAAATCATTATTTTAATTCGACAAAAAAGTAATTAAATAATTCAAATAGTATTTTACGCACCGTCGAGAGTAATGCTTTTGTGTATTTTTATTCCATTGAATGTGAGTCCAAGAGTTGTAACTTGGACATCATCTGCTGATAAATCCCAAGTAAATTCCTTCGTTTGCAACAAAAATCCTGTAAATTCTGCGAATTTGGCTATATCGTCAATTTGGAATGCGGCGTCGCTGTCGATCACACCTCCTTTGTTCGCTACGGCGCTAACGGGCGGCAGGAATATTCTACCAAGTGCGACACCTTGGGCTGTTACTTGGAGACCATTTGGAAATGAGATTGTTGCGTCAATTGGCTAAGTTAAGTAAAAATATATCAGTTTTAATTCATTGACAATTGAAGTAGGGAAATATTTAAATCGATGAAATTATTACCCCCGTCTTAGTAATTGTTCCTTTGATTTGTGCGACAAATGAACTTGCTCTAATCTTTGTAATTGCTACTCGTGTGGTGACCAAATCGCTTCCATCGACAATTGGTTGAATGAGCAGGCTACCAATCTAAGAAAAATTGAAATAATTATTAGATATAATTCGAAAAATAATCCGATAATATAATAAATAAAAATTTACCACATCCAAAATGTCACGAAATATATTGTTATCTAAAATGTCACTAACTATATTGAGATCTAAAATGTCACCAACTATATTGAGATCTAAACGCAAAAAAACCCAAATTAGAATGTGACAAATCAAATTTTTTTCTAATAGAAATACATTATAACCTACCGACGGGTACATCCTTTTGTGAGAAAATCAATGGTGTCTTAAATTGATCAATCGCGGCTTCAGAACTCAAAGCGATATCAACATTCAAAAAACTCGATGGTGGAATTGCATTAGTACTGTTGTCACCATTTGGAATTAGATCTCTAGCTTTTAATGGAATGTTACCATTCCTAATCGATGAAATTATATCTCCAATATTTGATTGAATGTCATTACTATTAGGAATAAGTGGTGAAATTATATCTCCAATATTTAATGGAGTGCTGCCATTATTATGAATAAGTGATGAAATTGTATTTCCAAAGTCAGTACTATTAGGACTAATTGATGAAATTATTTCCAAAATAGTTGCAGGATCTAAATTAAGTTTGATTGGTATTGGATCGGTTGTAAAATTGACGGCTTTTCCGGGAATAGTAATTGGTTTAGGTAGTTGCGGGATATTGATCGATCCTATTTGGATTCCTTTGAATGTGATATTAGAATTGATGCTGAACAATGTGATTGGAGCTGAGAATGGATTTGAGATTGTGACTGTTCCATTAGCGATTCCAGTCGTAAAAGTATTCGCATCGGGACTTAGTGAAGTGGAAATTATCAATGGCTTTTTGTTTCCGGGGAATTTAGTGTTCAGTTTAATTCCGGCAAATGCTTCTTTAAGACTTTCGATTGGCGTTGAACTTTCGGATCCTGTGATATTGACAACTTGGTCATCGCCTTGTAAGAAGGTACTTAGTACTTTGAGTGCTACCAATTTATCAGAAGCTTTTGGCGAGAAATTGACGACGGCTTTAAGTGAATTCTCTTTTGGTACGACGTTGAGCGCTTTGATCTTTACGGTGCCCAATGCTGCATCGTATGCTGAAAAGGAGAATGAGACGTCACCTGCTTTAATGGAGATATTGGATGGATTGAAGAGTGATGTTTTTATACTTAGAAAAAGAGTTGTGGTTGTGCCGGAAACTACGTCCAAGTCTGACACTGAAACAGGGTTTGACGTGAAACCCTGCAAGCCTATTATCCAATGAATGGTATATTGTTAAAGCAATTGATTTGTTATGATTACTGTCAGTGCAATATCAAAATGAATACTAACCAGCTAATGTTGTCTGTACATCATATGTGATTCCTGATATGTTAAAAGTACCAGCGGGAGTTTTAGTGATTGCATTTAATTTTCCCTTTAATTGGAATTTTTTCGATTCATTAAGCGTTATATCCTTTACTAAAAAATAGAACAACGATAATTTAGAAATCGTATTTTTCAATAATAATCGATCATTTAAATACACATACCAAAATCATTAAAGTTGTTTTTTTGTCCACCATTAACAGCAAACGGTACATTATTAAATCTAGTCGTGACAGTTTTATCCTTTTGATTAGTCTTTGCCGGATTTAGCGGCACAACCAATTTTGCCATATCAGCGTTCTTATTGAACACATCAATTGATTGCTCGATTTTTAAAATATCGAGTGGGAAACCGAATGGATTGAAGAATCCGGCGACGATATTGTTAGAAGAGGTCAAAGGAGCATATGCAGTTTCAGTGGTAAATGCTAAATCGAGTGCTTTGAGATCGACGGATGTGATCAATTTGAGATTTGGAGGTGGGTGTAAAACGACATCAATTGAGAGTTTGGTGATTGCCTTGCTGAGCCATTTGCATGATCCGCTGGATGGTTTTACGCCTGCGCCGACTGTTTGGAGGGTGATTGGAGTTCCGGTGACAAACAAACTAAAGAAGATTTATTAATGACATGCACATTAATAAATAATATTTAAATTAAGTATTATTTTTTCTTACCCGAATAATTTCGAGATTACAGTGATGTCATGAGGATCAGTTTTGGGTGTGATTCTTCCCTTCAACCCCAAAGTATTCTTTTCTTTAGGTTGAATTACCGCATTAGAAGCAGACGCAGGTCCAACTTCGACGCCTTCAAAAACAGTTTTGAATGATAATGTACCAGCATCAACACCAACAGTTCCCCCATTGAAAAGCGATATCATAATATCCATTTCAATTCCTCCCTCGGGCGCAATTCCAGGAAGGTTAAAATACAAAATTTGCACACCACCCTTGAACCCATTAGAACCTTTCAACGGCACCGTTTTTTTCATAGTCAAACCGGTGAAATTTTTACCAAGGACGAAAACAACAAGTCCTGTGGCGGAGAGTTCCCATTGTGCGCTCGGAGTGCCAAGGAGTTGTTCAGTGAATTGTTCAAGCGCATCTTGATTTGTGACAGTGAATAGATTAGTCGAATTGATTGAGGCTTGACCGTTGGATGCTTGAACTGGTGGCATTTGCAAAATACCAAGTTCTTGGCCGTTTGAAGAGACCACTACCCCTTTAGGAAAATAAATTGTTGCGTTTGCTGGACCAGTATTCGTGAGTGCGCCTTTGACTACAGAGTTGAATTTGGTGTCGGATAAATCGGTGAGAAGAATGCTGTCTATACTCATTTTAGATGCATCAATTATTGCTTGGATAAATGGTGGTGCGGCACTTGAGATTGTACTTCTTAAAGTGTCATCTACAAGAATAATAATCAATAATTTAAATCATAAACTTAGATAATAGGAAAATCAAAATGATATTTTACCAGCTGAAGTAATAATGCCCCTTGGTGTGATATTTAAACCTAAACCTAGTCTAGTTTCGGCCGGCTTGGGTAGACTTGCTGTTTTTTTTTGTTTGTTGAATAATTGTATTAATTTAAATAGAAATTTTTATGGATAACATTAAAAAAATTTACCTTTGAAGCTTTTGCTACCTTCACCAGCAAGAATTTCCTTGTGACCTAGAATATCTATTCAGAAAAAAATAACGATTATCAATCAATATTAAAAATAAATTAAAAATAACATACATACCCTTTAATTTACTAACTGCTTTAAAATCGAAACCTGTATTCATGATACATAATTAACATATAAAATAGCTAGAAAAAAAATGTACGAGTAAGTTACGTAATTAATTAAAATTTACCCTGCATCTCAATATTTCCAATCGTAGTTTTAGCACGAACTCCAGTATTTCCCCGAAGTTCAAAAGGGACATTATCATCCAACGACAACGCACTAATAAATTTCCCGAAATTTTCTTGTTGTCCATCAAAGATCGTTATTGGACTTTGAGGAATCGACAAGTAAATATTTTTCTCATCATTCGAAGCTTGAGCCCATGGAGATTCAAAACCTGCCAATGCAACATTGTTATACCACAGTGAAATGCTTTGTTTGGCTTGAAAAACTTTAATGGGAGTATCGAACGGGAATTGGTAATTTGCTGTGACTTTTTCTGCCGATAAAATTGGTGCCCAATCATTGCCGAATGTTATCGATGTTTTAGGAATACTGACAGTGTGGATGAGAGAAGATGGAACATCCGAGTTATATCTTTGGACACCAACTTCAAACGCAAGTGCTTTAACTCCTTCACTGAGCCAATCATTACCGTATGTACTGTTCGGAAGAGCGAAAGCTCCTGTTGCTATGACAGGGACTTTAATATTATTTGTGAAATCTTGTACAAATTTGGAGATGTATGGTAGTTCTTGTTTATTCTTTTTGGTGACTATTCCGCTGAAATTTATGTTATTGTAGCCGGGATATATTATGAGATTCTTGTCAGTAGAGTTCACTGAACCCATAGACACATTATTAATGCCAATATTTAGACCGAGTGTACCAACGTGTATGCCAATTTGTGAAGGGTTATAAAGACTTATTGAGCTAATTTGTTGATATGTAGTATTATCGTTAGGATTCCTTGTTATATTAAAAGAGGTTAAATTCGTATCCTTGAATCCATTTGCACCTATAATAAATCAAAATTATTATGAAAAAATCATTATAGAAATATATGAATGTCATTCAATAATAATTACCTTTAAGAGTGACTGCTTTTTCAAAAGGAAGACCCTTTTTAGTGATACCCATTATTTTCACACTCATCTTCGCTCTAATATTCCAAGTGAAAGTTTCTTCAGTCAATTGAGTCTTTACAAAGTTCGCAAATGCATATGGATCCGAGATCATGAGATCTCCCACGTTTTTGAGTTCTCCACTCCCTCCCTCATTAATCGAAATATCCGGTAAACCTATTGTCCCAATTTTCGTGTCATTCCAAAGCACCTCAGCCGGTTCCGGATAAGATACAACCGCTTTATACGATCCAGCATTTGAGACACTTCCGCTCACGTTCAAATGAAATTTCTGTTCTCCTGCTGGAGCGATTATCAATGAATGAAACGTCGTATTTGAATGATCAATTGCTCGTTGTACGGACACGGGAAATATAACAAATAAAATGAGTGGCAATAATACGGCAAGGATTATAAGAAGGATTCCGCCGCATAGCAGCCATGTTCGTTTTCGTTTATACCAAAGACTTGCGTCGTTGTAATCGTAGAGTTGATTTGATAATCTTTTTTTTATCGGTTCTCTATCACTATCGATTGCGTATGATAATACTGAATTTCGAATCATTGATTCTTTACCAGCCGACATACGCTTGGCGTCTTCGTGAGAATTGCTCATTGTTGACGTAGAGATTAATTTACATATAACGAGTTTGTGTTATTATAGCAAATTCTATATTTTTTTAATTCCCGAGTAATTTATATGAAAATATTCTCTATTAGATCTAAACATTAGGAATAATGATAGGTGTGGTGGTGGTAGGGATTGCAGTTATGCAGAGTCTTCCAATCTTTGATATCGTTTGCTATCAAAGAGTGGGTGGCTCGCAAACAGCAAAGACAACTAGTGCTTTGGTTTGGTATACTAACTTTGATAGAAAAGGGACAAGACGATAAAAAAAAACGAGGAAAAAGGTAAAAAAAAAAATATTTTTTTCGTGATTACTTTATATTTTTATATTTGTATCTCGGATCGCGATTCGTACAGCGTGCGCATGTGTCGTTTCTCTCATATTCTTGCGTCGGTGTGTTAAACATGAGATTCTTTAATTTTTGAATAAATTGATATTCGAACTTTTCGAATTCTTCACCATTTTGACATATGAAAACGGAAATGACTTTTTTAAGACATTCGGCTATAACATATAAAGCAGTTGATCACCATCATCATATAGGTTCGAATGTAAATCATAACGATAAATGCCTGGACACAAAGTTCCATTGTATTAAAATTGAAGCTTTGTGGGGAATCTTCTTTTTTGGAAAATTATGACCTTATGTTTGTAATGGCGGTATCACGAAAAATCCTTTTTAGATTTAATGAATTAATTGGATTAAAATACAAAAATTAATCCATTTACTATCGCTATCACATATGATATTTATTTGAAGTTTATTTTTCAAAACTGAAAATATAATTTATCAACAAATGTTATTCGCGAAATAGTGTTCCGAATGGTCTGGTTCGGTTCGGGATTGAGAGTAATCCGAAAATACAAAGGACAAACCGGACAATACGAGTCGGTTTTCGGATTAAATCGGAAATACTGGATACAGTATTAATGAAAGTTTATCGATTTTGCTCTATAAACCTCGAAAGTATAGAACAAAGAAATTCAGTTCCATGTTTTATTAAGCCCCTTACCAAAAGTTTCCAAACACTTTTTCAGGCGCGATTTCTCGTAAATAAAACAGTGCCATACAATAATTATTATTCTGCGCATGTACGTATATATGCACTGCTCATGTTAACGATTTAATTTATTTTCTTTCTGTAATATTATTACAGATATATACATTGAATGTTAGCCATTTCAGTATGGTATGGTCAATTTCTGATTGGCTAAACCAAAATTAATATATAAAACCCATGTGCATAAAACTTGTTAATATTTACAAAAGTGTGCACATCAACTTAGGGACCTGGAAAAATTTTTTAGATAACAAGCATGTAAAGAATTTGTTATACTCAGCAATTGTAAGTTAAATTATTAATAAAACACGCGTGGCGTACCTCTGAAACTTCCTTCACCCCCAATTCATTATAATCTCGAGAACAAATTCCAAGTCTAGTAATATCAAACACCACAAAATAATCGAATTTTCAATTCAGATATTGATTTTGAAATTTGAATAAAATTTAGATGAAATCGCATAAATTTAGAATAACTTACTATATACTAGCCTGACCAAAGTATTAGGTTAAGATATAAATTTATTAATTAAACATAGTAAAATGCGAGTTTTGCTCTTACTAATAAATATTTTTAATTTTTATATTAAAATGAAGATAGTATCACATATTTTAACATATATTTTATCTGCTGAAGCATATAAAGTCAATTATTTTTTTATAATTAAAACATAAAAAATTATTTATATGCAATTAGAACAGCTTTATCAGATTAAATTAAAAAATCTAAAAAAAATATATGTTAAAATATGTGATATTATCTTTATTTAATGTAAAAATAATAAATATTTATTAGTAAAATTAAAAACTTTTATAAAGAGAAAGTCCATATTTTACTATATTAATTAATAAATTTTGATATTATTATATTATTTCTGATTGCTACTATATATATATTTATTTTAATAATTATATATTTAAAATAAAATTTCTTTATAGTTCAAGATATTTAATATCTTTAAATTTTTTGTATCATATATAATTTATCTTTTTTATACTAAATATCAAGAAATCTAGATTTAATTTAATTAAATTTGATATAGTTTAATTTAATTTAATTAAATTTGATATAGTTTAATTTAATTTAATCCAAAATTTTATTTGAACTAAAGATAGCATTTTAATTAATTGTGACTTGTAGTATCCAAGCAGAGAATTTTGATTTAATTGTAATTAATTGTGATAACCAATTAGAAAATTGTAATCAAGTTACAACTAATTGCAATTATATCTTTAGTTTAAATTTTGAATTAAAAATTTAAATTAAATTAAATAATAAAATAAAATTAATAATTAGTTTTTTAATTATATAAAAATATTTTATATACTAAAATTTATTAATACAATTATTATTTATTAGTTCTGACAAAATTAAAATTTTTACTAATATACCAAATAATTTTTATTATATATAAAAATTAATAAAATTATAGTAAAAATTAAAATTTTTGTTTCATATAAAAATTTTTAATTTTATTAATAAAGATTTTATATTTTTATATTAAATAAAAATTAGAATACAGTCAAATTTCTCTATAATTACCACTTTTAGAAAAGCAAAATTTGATAACTATAAAGAAAATATAATTATAAATTATTATTTTTATATATAAATAAGAAAGCAAAACAGAGTAACTATAAAGAGATATAATTATAAATAAATATAATTATAGAGAAATTTAACTATATATAATAACAATAAAAAATAATATAATTTATTAATTAAATATAATAAAATACGAATTTTTTTTATATAAAAATTTTTAATTTTACTAATAAATTTTTTATTTTTATATTAAATGAAAATAATATTACATATTTTAAAATATATATTTTAAAGTTAATCTGATTAAGTTTTTTTAATTATATATAAAATTTATAATTTTTTATATATTTTAATTATTAATTTTATATATAATTAAAATTATTTAATTAGATTAAATCTAAAAATCTGAAAAAAATATATATTAAAATATATAATACTTTATTTTATATAAATATAAAAATATTTATTAGTAAAATTGAAAACTTTTACAATAGCTAACAGAATTATAAAATTATACATGCAATTTATTAATAAAATATAATAAATATTAAAATTTTTATCTTATATAAAAGTTTTTAATTCTATTAATAAATATTTTTAAATTTTATATTAATACAAAAATTATAAGTTATTATTTAATATATATTTTTTCTGGATTTTATAGATTTTTTCTGATAAAGTTATTCTAATTATAAAGTTATTGCAAAATTTTTTATAATTAATTTTACATTTTAATTATAAAAAATTTTTGCAATAACTTTGTAATTAGAACAACTTTATCAGAAAAAAATCTAAAAAATCCAAAAAAAATATATTAAATTATCACTTACTCTTTATCTTAATATTAAAATAAAAAATATTTATTAATAAAATTAAAAACTTTTATATAAAATAAAAATTTCAATTTTTATTATATTTTATTAATAAAATCACATATATATTTTCATAATTCTATTAGTCATTATATATTTTTTTAATTTTTTTATATTTAATTTGAGAAAGTTTATTAATTATAAAGTAAATTGTTTAATTTTAATAACTAAATTATATAAAAATTAATTAATTTACTTTGTAATTAAAATTTTTTTTAAATTAAGTAAAATATTGATCAATAAAATTGAAAAATATATTTCTAAATTATTCTAAAAAAAATATAACTATAATCTAAACTAGTATTAATTATATATTTAAACTAGTTTAGTTATATTCTTAAATTATATTATTAATTTTAGAATTTATTTTTAGTTATTATATAAATAAAAGTTTCAATTTGTATTATATTTTATTAATAAAATTATATATATAATTTATAATTTTTTTGATTATTATATATATTTGTAATTAATTAATATTTAATAAATAATATTTTTAACTTGTAAATATAATTATATTATTAATCAAAAAATTATTATTGTATATATAAATTTTAAATATATCTAATTTTTTAAATAAAAATATTATTATTAAAATTAGTGCTCTAAAATCTTAATTTGTTGGCTTATATATTACTTGTATATATATAATTTAATTAATAAAATTTATATTTATATTATTAAATTATATATAAAATTCAAACTTGAATAATTCAAACTTAATTATTAGAAACTTTAATAAAAATTTAATATAAAATATATATAATTCTAGTAAAATTGAAATTATTTTTTATAATAAAATTTTTATTTTTATTAGTAAATATTAGAAATATTTAATAATTTGAATTTTTAATTATAAAAGTTTGTATAATTATCTGTATAATCTGAAATATTTCTAAAATTAAATTTAAAAAATTTATAAAAAATATATGTTAAAATATAGATTCTTAGCTTTATTTTAATAAAAAAACAAAAAATATTTACTAATAAAAATAAAATTTTATTATAGAAAGATAATTTTAATTTTATTATACTTTTTTTGGATTTCTGGTAATTTATTGTGGAATATAAGGTAAAAGGGGGTATTGTGACGAAGAAGGATATTGTGATGAAGTAACAATATTCCAATAGCTAGTGTTCGAAATCGCATGAAAATATTATCATTCAATTCATCATACCTAGACAAATCAAATGGTGATATCGTACTGAAAGTCATCATATGTCAGATTTTTGCCAATTTAAAGGGTGATATCTTGATACTTTGCGATTGAAATTACATGAAAATATGATCATTCAATTTGTCATGTTTAGACGAATCGAATGATAATATTTTCATGTGATTTCATTCGTAGAGTATTGTTACCGTTTTGATGGAACTTTTGAAATACTCAAAGATATTTATAAAATTTAAGGAATATTCAAAGGGAAACTTCCAATGTCTTAATGACAATTCAAAGT